CCATGATTTCATTAATTCTCAGGAACAGCTTTTTCTGACGAGCCAATTATGTTCGCTTTTTTTCGCAAATAAAGGATATATTTTATAGCAATCCTTAGAACTGCATGATATTCCTTAACTATTACTTGGTCTTTAGGAAACTCTCAGAAGCAGCACCTTAAACAAGGCAGAAAGCTTTTAGGATTCAAATCAAAATTTTTTACTTGATGAATATAATGTGCGTTGAATCAAGGAGACACATACACCTAAGTGATGCCGAGTGTATAGAATGAAAATCGTCTTGGAGTTTAAAACTGAATTTTAGTTCGATCCTTTCGGACCGTGACGGTAGCAAAGCAGTCAGGTACCATGTTGGCTCTCTGCTAGTTCCAGGTTTTCTTGGCTAGGAAAATCCTAAGCGGGATGGGGAATGAAAATAAGTACGTCAGGCTTTGGCACTCAGAGGCTGGTGCTCTTTTTCAAAAGATCTGGAAATTTTTCAACTTTATTATTGATCTTTGGACTTGACGTTGATGACTTTCGGTCTTAGTAATTTTTTCTGTACTTCTTGAAGAACAGAAAAGGTATAATTACGGACGTTACAAAGGTTTAAATAAAATTAGAATTCATCCAAGTAGGGAATGAAATTGTGGTTTTTTATCCTAAATGGAAGGAGTGGTATATCTTTATAGGCGATTCAATTCTCAAATGAGTGTAGATTTTTCTTTTTCAGTTTCTTGAGTCATTTTCTTTGGCACTTACCTTAGCATTTGCCTGGAATGTGGAGTTTCGGAGTTGAGAAAAAAGAAAAAAGTGAATAAAAATGAATTGAGAGGCAGATCTCCAGTATTTGTGCGGTTGAGAATAACTAAGGAGAGGGTATATTTTTATATTGCAAAACTTTTAGTGTACAAAGTTTTCTTTCTCAAAAATTGAGCATTTTTGCAAAATCCCTTTTTGTACCACATTCAGAATTACTTCATTTACAAAACATTTCTTATCGAGTTTTTGTTCTCTTTCTTGAGAGCAAAAAAGACAATTTCTAAAGGGGAAGAGGTCTCTTTTTTCTTATTGAAAATTTAGGCGCACTAAGGCGTAAATCAGGTATGGTATCTGTGGAGAGAGCATCACTGTCTTTATCTTATTTTTATAGAGGTTTTGTCTTGACTAAGGTATCTGAAATGATTTATTGGAGGACCATGAAATTTATTCGGAGTGAAGGTGGGGGTTTCAAGAGCAAAGGGCTCTGGACCGAGACGCGAATAAAAATGTATTAGTGCTTTCAACATGTATTAAAAGAAAAGGGGAACAGGAGAAAGGAGCAAAAAAATGTCAAGCTTCAGCCGTTAGCCGTACAAAAGTTTGACTAGGAAATAGGTCAACTAAACTGTGGTCCAGATATAATTACGTTTGCCAAAAAAGAACTATTTCATAGTACTGGTAAAAAGTGGAAAGAAAAAAAAACTATTCGACTTACTGACACCGAAATTACGCAGAGGAACCGAAAAAAAGGACTGTGAAGTTTAAAGACAACTGAAAAACGGGTAAAATATGCAGAATTAAAGCAAAGGAACACAGTTGGTGTACAGTGAAATTAAAACTGCTAGTTCTGAATAACTGGTTGGAAGATCTACAGTAATTTGGTTAAAGTAAGACGTAGTTTGTATAATTAGATAGTCACCATGCAGAGCGTCTTGGTGATACAAATTGATTGTAGGGACGACAACATTTATACGTTTTTTCTCAATTCATCTTTTTCAAATTTGTGTGACATTGGAATATGGCAACTTGAATATAAAAACTAGTTTCTTTATTGCCAGTTAAACTTCCCTCTTTTTGACTCTTTTTTTTTTGCAGCATATGATTTTATGCGATCAACTAAGCAGCAAATTTTGCTCCTACGAGCAAGACAGGTAGTGACTCGCTATTTTTCCCTCGTAAAGTAAAAGGGTTAACAAAGTTTCAGTTGGTCTTCAACTGCTTTTATGGACTAGAACTTTTTAGTTTTCCGTATATACAGTTTCTCCGGAAATGCACTAAGTAAAAATGCAACTTGTCTTTTTTTGAGATTGATGCTTTTCCATAATATGTTATAAGTTAGAAAAGAACTTTTTTAGGCGTTGAGACGATGAAAGCCAAAATGCCGCATATCGTATTTCCACTTCTTCCGTCAGGCTGCTTATCTGGATAGGATAGTTTAATGGTTTCGAAAACAGATGATGCCTGGATTAAGGACCCAAAGCTCATTGCATTTGACTTACAGAAACCTCATTATTGGGAAAACTTTGGTCTCAGTCTACCAACTAACTGAGTTAGGCAGCTTTTTGGTGCTCTGATGTCTTTATTTCTTTGCTCCTAAATTTGTTTTCAGTCTGGAATAGCCATATACAGTACAAAATGGGGGTCAAAGTGTTCTCAGAAAGCAGGTTTCGATTACTGGAACTACTGTAAATAGGAACTAAACGAGAAATCCTTGTCCATTCTCACAAATTATTTGCGTTAAAGCGTTGCGTACCGCCTACTAACAATATCTTTCATTATTGAGCGGCATTTGCTAAAATTATTTGAACGAATTAGCAAATTTTTATTTGAAAGCACACACATTTTATGAATTGGCAGAATCTTGCATATTGCAGATGGCAAAAAATTGCTAAATTATCTTAAATATTAAGAAAATGAGCTATTAAACTGCTTTTTGTACAGATTGACACATAAAAAGTTTTTTTAAAGCAACTCAGGCATTAACATCTAAAAATTAACCTAAAGCTAATGCATAGTGTAGTTTATTGTCTTAAAGTTTTATGCAATCATTGATACATTAACTAAAGAGTTCCTGGTACCTTCAAGCAACAGTAACAGCTAACACCACCAGTCTTATTAAGTGAAACCTAAGTCCCCAAGTTTTCTTTAAGGTATTGACCAATTTTTCCTTGTTTCACCATCCCAATGGTCATTTACAAAATCTGTTTACCAGAGGTCAAAGGTGGTTGACGAACTAAGATACAATAATAAATTTTCTTGTTACAGTTCAGTGAAAGCTTTAAAAATAGAATTTTTCTATTTGTATTTTATTTAACCCTGAGAATAAGGTCAATTATAAGTCTTGACAACTTTTGGTTTCATTTGACGGGTAGAACCATAAAACGAGGCGCTTAAGAAATGAAATAAGTTTGAAGAAAGCTTGGCAATTCTTCTTTCAAACAAAGAGTAATAATGATAACAAGTATACCTCACATTTGGCACATAAAAAGACTAATGACTATATAAGCTATGACTGAAGGTAACGTAATCGAAAGATCCAGGTGGCCCATTAACTGCTTTGTAAGAATTCATACGTTGTATGCAATATTCAGCCTGATCGGTTGGCAACTCTCTTCTTATCTCCTCAACCGTGATATAAGGCTAAAAAGCAAAATGTATGGACTCTTATAGACGGTTAGTAAGAAAAGATAAGAGTAGAAAATAAAAGAGTGATTAGTAATCAGTAACGCTATACAGCTACCTTTCCGGCAGCGAGGATCCTAAATGAGTCAACCATTTGTTCTGCAGTATCGGCGTCACCTGTTTCGCGAGTCATAAAGTCTAGGAAGGCATCAAAAGGAATTCTTCCTATTCTATTTGGGTCCAAAATTGATAATATCCTAGCCATATCCTGATCACCCTGAAACTTCCTTCCTCTAGCATTACTTTCATCAACTGTTTTTGATAAGAACTGCTCTTTCCTTAAAGCAAATCTCTTAAAGAAATTTGAGCAAAGATTCAGTTTCTTAATCAAAAGTAATTAGCAGTTTTTGCAGGTTTGTAAAGATTCCATGCTACCTTCTTATTTTTTAACTTTATTTAATACCTCTTTTCCAGGCCTAATATTGTAACCAATTGATATGAGGCAAGATTTCAGTTGCTCCTGATCAAGTCCCTGCCTATCTTTGTCGAAATGATTGTATGATGCACGGTATTCGTTGAGCTGCTCCTCAGTTATTCCTTTACTGTCACGCATCAGTATCTAAACTAGTTGCTTGTATCTACTTTCCTTAGATTTAAGTAGTGTCTTTGAGCGCTGAAAGAAATACATACGATCGGACAAAGTGAGCAGTTTTTTTGCTCCTACTTCTTAATACCATCAATTTTACACCAATACCTGATTCTCACACTCATTGATCGTACGATTAATCGAAGTAATCAGTGATTCCCACCCAACACGCAAAGACTCCATTGAGTATCGAGTGAATCGGTTCTCAAAGACAAAGTTCTCTTGCATTTCTTGATTTATTTTCTCCAGTTCATCAATGTTCGGTTTGTAGGTCATAGCCTGAAAATCAGCAACTGCTGGTCAGCAGGAAGCAATAAATTATTATAGCAACTTAGTTTTTGAAATTGTTAGAAACAAAAAGAATAATTGTGAGGTAATTTCTTCTCTTCGAGCGTCCATAGTAGGAGTCCAAAGATAGTTTTTTACCTGTTGATAAATGTTCTTTAGTTGGCTGATGGCACCTTCAAGACTTCCACGACCGCCAAGGCCAATTGCAAGTACTTGCTCTAATTGTCTTTCCAAGTAAGGTCCAACTGAATTAGCTTTTTCAGCAAAAAGTTGCCTCAGACGTTCGTTGTCTAAATTTATTTATTTTTAGAGCTTGTTTTATTGCCTCGATTT